AATGTATATAGATAGCAGACTAACTCCAGCCTATGTAGGTAGTACAGGCTCACAAGCGTTGTTGAGAAAATGATCTCTCCCCTCTTCACAGCAATTTCAACAGTTTGCTGGAGCATTGAAGGTGCATAAGCACCATCAGGCGCATGATGCTAAGAAAACGTGGTGTGAGAAAGCTGCTGTGAGAAGCGCCGTTCAACAGCAAAAGTAACAACGATGCTTGGTTTGGAGAACTCTGGTCCGGCTGCTGCCACGAGGGGTCATGTTCGATGGTCAGTCGTGTTGAAGGGAATGATCCAATTCTCCGTGGGGTTCTGAACTGAAATGACGATGTTGAGGATTATCCGGTGCATTTCACAGCCCACCGCCTCCTAAGACCTAAACCCCTTTAATATCTGAACTACACACCCGCGAAGATATGGAAATAATTTCGGGGAGAGGATTTCAAAATACCCTTGTAATTCATGACGTCATGATAGCGTTATTAAAATCATGCCATTCCGCACGCCCTGTGACCATCAAGGCCAAGGAAGACATATGGATCGAGTCATTCATATTTGGCGATCGTGAGCATGATTTCCAGATAAGACGACCGTCCCCTGGCCCTCCATCAATGCTATGCAAGGCACGATGACGTAATCAAATAATGATACATCGAGGATGATGTTCGCCGAACGAAGAAAATGCGTTGTCTGGAGTAGTCTTCTCTACTTAAAAGCATACCAATAGTTATAAGTAAGCTTACATCATTATTTCTTATGCTTGCTTCAATATATTCAAACACCGAACATATCGTATCGGCGTATTGCATCTCGCCTAAGTTGCACCCCTACCTAAGAAATCTAAGAAGAATCAGCTCTGATATTTCAAAAGCTGTCACCTGCGCCTGATGATGTTTATGACTAACTGTGACACGCCAAATTCACAGGTTGGGTTGGCCTATACATTAACTCACTTGTGTCACAATTTTATGTTCCTAGGTCATGATATTGGGATCAAATAACATTAAACAAGGTAATACTCCAGAAGTGCCCCAAACCTTTCATGCTACCGCGGTGAAGCCAGCTACCTGTTCTAAGCCGAAGGGCGATTGCATCCAATTAAAGTGAGTGACTGTTTGACTTTTACACGCCCTGTACAAGATCAAGATGACCAAATGCGTACCAGATGGTTTCTATTTTGCCATCCGAATAAGCGTTAGGGATTACGCCTGTCGGTATACTCTAAAAAAAACACAATATTGTCCTACTTCCTTTTAGGTCAGAGACCTATCCTGATCTTCAATAAGTCCTGGAACAAGTTTGTTGTGGTCCCTGTCATTAGCAAACCGGTTAGATACCCTTTGCTCGGGTGGGGGAATCAGTTTGACTCCCTCTGAGATCTCGGGAACTAGAAAAGCTAGAGACACCACATTTACCGGGTGTGTTGACTTCTACGTCAACTCACTTAGGTCAAATTTTGAGGTTCCTAGGTCATGACATTAAGTCAAATAAAGTCGAACAAGGTGATATCTCAGGTTGGTCTCTAAAGTGCCCCAAAACCTAGCTAACTGTTTCTAAGCAAAAGTCACATGCTCAGTTAAGGGCCGTGACCTTGTTTGACCTTCTGAAGATCATGGCGACCAAAATCATACAAGACTGCCCTGAGTTTTGTATTTGAATAAGCGACAAAGGTTACGCTAGTCAGCATGTCTCTAAAAAATAAAGCAATGACCTGGGTCATCCTAGACCAGTGACCTATCATGACTTCTAAGAAGTCCATGGGAGATGCATAATGGGTTCCTGCCATCAATAAATTAGAAATGACCACCAGAAACTACCCTGTACAGCAAGCCCTGGAGCGGTAAAACAGGCTGGTTTTGACCTTGCTCTGACCTTCATATCTGACCTTTAAATCAACGTGATTTGCTCATTCAATATTGATGTTGCCTACGAAAACATCTCAGAGATGCATGGCTTCGTTTAATACTCCGTTGTTTTATCAGATTGAACGATTCCCTAGAAACTGACTTCGCTGAAACCATGACCTGACTTTGACCTGCCGTAGGTCAGCGACCTTACTCAGTACACCCAAATTTATGTAACCAAACGATCTGCTATTTAACTGTCTATAGCCATGCAAAATTTGGCGCGGCTGCGACGCGCCGTCCGGACACCATTCTAGAAAACCTCCGGGGGTGGGATCAATCTGACCCCCACCCGGGCGCGTGTTAATTAAGTCGGAATGAGCACCAGCAACTGTCTCATAGAGCGAGCTCTCGATTAAAAAGGCAGCAAATTTTTGACCCCGATCCGACCTTTACACCCGACCCTTGGTCATTGGAACGCAAGTGGTTTGCTGCATAAGAAACTATCGTAGGCATGTATGGCTTCGTCTAACACTCCGTTGTTGCATCACATTGAACGATTCCCTAGAAATACCTTTCACTGACAGCTATGGCCCGACTTCGACGTGTCATACATATATGATAGGTCAGCGACCTAACAACGCGCATCTAATTTTATTAAATCAAATCATCCGCTATTCTGTCATGTCATTGGTGTTTTACGACGCATTCAACTGCTGAGGCTATATGGCGTCGCCTGCCCCTCACCCTGGCAGGAAGGGCGGGCACCGCGGGGAATCGAACATCGTACCTCTGGTTTCCCAGACGTGCAGTGGCTATTGCAGACGCGTTAACCAATACACCACCGGCACCCCAACATCCGCTACTCAATTGCAATGTTTGGCGTGGTTACACCGCGCCCTTTGAAAATCATTTTGGAAGAGCCTACGGGATGGCCCATCTATGCCGCCCCCCCCCCCCCCCCCCCCACCATACCTGAGCACTTAATAAAAGGCCAGTCACGGGCTTTTGATCTTTGCAACTATTGGCTTCACCGGCATTTACGGCAGCAATATGCAAGCTTTTCAAACCTTGTTTGTCCGTTTTTAGGGACGGATGTCCACACCGGCAGGTTGAAACCCAAAACTAGCTTCACAGGGAAAGCAAATGCGCCGTTTACATACAATTTGGACATCTTAACACTGTTCGACCAAGGGGTAAGCCAGAAATGAAATGGCAAGCGGGCAGGGCTACGTTTTCCGAAAACCGGCTTCAGAGAAAACCCGAACACAAACACACAACATTAAACACGAGACACGCGGGCCTAAATCAGGCAAAATCAGGCTATGAAAAATTTTTAGTGGTAGGCCCAATTTACCGCTATCAATTTACGCCCAAACTGTTTTGGTGCTCCAAGCCTGTCCATCACACTGAAAAAATGTTGCGTTTACGTAAGGTGTTGCGTGCATTTGCGAGGAGCATTATGGATATAGATAAGACAGAAGTAGTAGCTTTATTCCTCGTAGAAAAACCAGGAGGATGGAGAAACAGATGCGTTGATATTTCGGCAACATAACGTCATCGAAACGAACATCAGAGGTGAATTTAAAATGGCCTGCCAATTCTTTTGTTTTTTGCAGGTTTTTTTTTCAACAGCGAGCCACAATTTTACAGGCCAACTATGTTCAGGGGATGAAACAACGAACAACTGCTAGCCATTATTACGATACAGTGCGTATCTACTTAGAAATCAGAACGGGCGAAAAATACATGTATACGCAAATGACTTAAAGTAATTGGACATCACACATCATGTTTCATTCGAATATGCAAGTGATTTCAAGGAAACAGCCGTCACGCATCACGCAGCAATGATACATGCAAACGATTTCAATTAAACAGGCACGGCGCGTCACGCGTCAGGCATCACATATACATGTAAGCGATTTTAAGCTAGCACGCATCACACATCAAGGTACTTATCGCATTCGCATAATCAACCATGATGAGCCCTGTACGTTAAGGTCTGGTTGCCGACTCCTTACAAGAGTACCTTTTTACGAGAAATTTATAAAAAACTGAAAATAGTGTAGGATCGTCAAGCAATTTCGAATTTACTACTGGCATTTGTTTCGATAAGGGCATGTTGCCGAAATATCGACGAATCCATCTTTCTGTTTTCCTGTTTTTTTTTCTGTGAGGAATAAGGCTATAGCTTCTGTCTTATCCATACGTTAAGTGTTTAATATCACGTGACTTCGTGTTGTTTTTAATCGCGCGGCTCGGCAGGCCCGAGGCCAGACAGCACTGCAGGGGTGTCTCAGACGGATTTGCCCGCCAAAATATCAATGCGCATCCACTTGCGACATTCCTGAAAGGGAATATTACAATGAGGTGATAAGCTGGGTTACTACGGGTTGTTGAAGACTCCATTAGCCTGCATCATCTACACGTTGATCGTATTATGCTATCTATGCCCGTTTTGCACCACAAAAGTCGTTTTTCCTCTCACACAGTGCGTTACGTTCTAGCTTAAATAAAAGTATCTTCTATATACACAAAACACTGATGCCTACAGTGCATATCGTAACATCAATTTGTGAAGCAAAATATATAGATAACCCTATTTTTGCGCTGAAGTGTAGGTCCACCTTTAAAATAATGCGATGGTATTTCCCAAAGCCTTCCACATACATATGTGGTCAGCAGCGTTGCCACCGGCCAAGCCATCCATGACGACCGAAAATAGCGGAAACATACAGCTTCAGAAAGCACAGACATACCGGTCCTTGTGCATCAGTTCGAGGGCAAAAATGCCCATTTAACACTGCAAGATTCGCATGCATCTATCACGTTTCAGAACGTCATTTCTATCCTACAGCACAACGTAATTTCATTCGTCAGCGGGCCGGTCAATGTACTAAGACTCGACAACCCATGCATCTTCTCGTCCCCCCGCCGTCGTCACGAATCCACTCAAACAAACACAAATCCCCGCGAAAATACGGCCTAGCAAACAGAGACGCCACCCGTCACCTAACGCAAACAAATGCCCTTTGACGCCTGCCGCGCGCGCGCTCTTGTCAGCCGCCGGTGGGCGCGGGGCGCGCGCGTCGGCGTCGACGCGTCCCGGCCGCGGTCGTCGACGGCCCACAGTCGACGACGGCGGCCGGGGGGCGAGAGACGGTTCGCGGCGAGCTGTCGACGGGGCCGCGCTGGCTGGCGAGCGGCTGGCCGGGTCGTGGCCGCAGACGCCGGCGTGACGGGGCGGAGCCGAGTGTCTGGGGCGGAGGTGAGGAGCCGCCTGAAGAACGGAGCATCCGGAGCGGTCTGGTGAGAAGGGTGGCGTCTGCGGTCGCCTTAATCATTGGCAGACTTCGAACCACAACCGAGAAATGCAATGGTCGGCAACAAGTAATCCAGGATGTGACGTGCCAACGCACAGAGCCCTAACCCTCGACCAGTGAGCATCCTGCTCTACCAGGGCTGCATCGGCCGCGGGGTGACCGGTCACCCCTGAACAGGCAGACCTGCAATCCCACCAACATGACCTCCGAAGGCAAGTGGCGCCGGCCGGGCGAGTTCTCCGAGCCGAGCCTCATCCCGGTGCCGCCCGGGGCCAGGCCACAAGAGGCGCACCAGCCGCAAGCACGACCTCCGCCCCGTGTGCTCGGCCAGTCGGACCGGCCGGTGGTGTCCAACATGTGCGAGCTGATACTCACCGTGCTCGCCTGGCTCATGGTCATCGCGTTCTTCCCGCTCTCCATGTTTGCGTGCGTGCGCGTGGTGCAGGAGTACGAGCGAGCCATCATCTTCCGGCTGGGGCGGCTAGTGCCTGACGGCGCGCAGGGCCCGGGCCTTTTCCTCATCCTGCCCTGTCTCGACAAGTTCACCTGCGTCGACCTCCGCGTCGTCTCGTTCGACGTGGCGCCGCAGGAGATCCTCACCAAGGACCTGGTCACCATCTCCGTCGACGCTGTCGTCTACTTCCGCATCTTCGAGCCGACCGTGTCAGTGACGAACGTGGAGAACAGCGGCTACTCGACGCGTCTGCTGGCGGCGACCACCCTGCGCACCGTCCTTGGCCAGTACTCACTCGCCGACATCCTCTCGCAGCGCGAAAGCATTGCGCACCAGATGCAGGAGGTGCTCGACGAGGCCACCGATGCCTGGGGCGTCAAGGTGGAGCGGGTCGAGGTCAAGGACGTGCGCCTGCCGCAGGAGCTGCAGCGCGCCATGGCCGCGGAGGCCGAGGCCAGTCGCGAGGCCAAGGCCAAGGTGATCGCGGCGGAGGGCGAGATGAAGGCGTCCCGCGCGCTGAAGGACGCGGCAGACATCATGTGCGCGAGTCCATCGGCGCTGCAGCTCCGCTACCTTCAGACGCTCAACACCATCTCGGCCGAGAAGAACAGCACCATCATCTTCCCCGTGCCGATCGACCTCCTGGGCAGCCTGATGAACGGCAAGGCCGGCACCGGCGCGTCGTTGGGTCCGGGTCCGTGTCCGGGTCCGGGTCCGGGCTCGGTGCCCCGCCCCCCGCCCGTCTCTAGCTCGTCCACGCAACTCCCGATCATCCCGGTGCGGCCTGCCTCCGTCCCGTCAGTCCAGGTCTCGCCGGGCCTGGTCCCGTCGGGCCTGGTCCCGTCGGGCCTGGTCCAGCCGGGCCGAGTCCAGCCGTGTCAGGTCCAGCCGGGTCAGGTCCAGCCGGGTCAGGTCCAGCCGGGTCAGGTCCAGCCGGGTCAAGTCCCACCATTCACGACAGTGTAGGGGAGATCGTTATCCGGAGACGCAGTGTCCACGCGTCAGTGATCCGAGCGTGCCGTGAACGACGGGCACTGTTCGCGGACAAGGCGCACTTGTATAGGAGACGGATCTCTCGTGGCTGCAGGTCGTTCAGCGTCGGCGCACGACCAGCTAAACCAACCATCCGACACGCGAACAGACAGCCGTGCTTAATTCAACAGCAAGAGCCACCAATATTGAAGCAGGCAGCTGCCATCAAACTGGATGCTGAGACAGCAGCGTCTCATCGTGTAAAACACTACCCGAACTTGATGAACTGCCAGGCATATCTGCACCCATCTAATTTTAACGACAGGATCACCGAACCTGCCAAGAAAAGCGCCGCCTTCCGCCGGGCGACGGTACAGCACACCAATTTTAAATCACAGCTGGGGCCCGTCGTGACCCGCCAGCAGCTCGGCAGGCCCCCAGGGCACGCCAGCTCGTCCAGATTGCCAGACAGCTGAGCAGCAGCGGCACATCCAAGCTCAACAATAAAAAACAGAAGCTGAATTGCTCCGATGGGCATTCTGCGCGCGCTTCGTTTCTAGCACTTGGCTACGAAAGACGACTGATGGATCAAATAACGAGACGTGATAGGTTTCGTATCGAAACAAAACGCATGTGCTGCTATCCGTTCAATCTGCGCTGTGACGTGTTAAGCCCATGCTGGATAGCGGTTCTTACTTTTTCCACGCGGAATTTGTGGTGCAAAAAAGTATACTCCTGGCGATGAAAAAATCCTCACAAATTTGACGTGCGCAATGGGCTTGCCGACTGCGCTGTAATGTATTTATCGCATTCGTTATCGGAGTCCTCGCGAATGTAAAAAACTTCCCACTAATCTCGTTTCGCCTACATGACAAATCTTATCATCCTTTTAGCTTGCCTGTCAAGACGGCAAATCCGATCAATTGGCGCAGTGCTTCTTTTTTGACTGGTCTCATAGATGTCCACGACCGCTTATCCGTGTGTTTCCCTATCGTTGCTATTCTCAATACACGTGTGAACAGCCTGAGTGCAGTGTACTGAAGTTTTAACGCTTAGTCCGGGTGCAGTTTGTTTTTGAAGAGTCGTAGGCAGAGAGAGAGCGGCTATGATGTTCGCTGGCCGTGACCAGCGGTACAAGTGTGTTGGAAGAATGGCGAAACGTCATGTTCTCGATGCTCAGTTCCAGTTGCTATGAACCAAATGCTCATAACTCATTCGGGCCTGGGTATATTTGGTTCCGCTGATCGCAAACACAGAAACCTGCGGATAAACGTTCAACAACGTCTGCGGCGGCGAGTGATCGAGCCCGTATATCGTGGTGTTTGATTATTTACCCGAGCAGGCGACGAAATGAAGACTTGCTTCTCGCGACATACAATGATGAAATAGCGCAAACATGCAACAACAGCACAAGATAAAAAGCAAACAAAGAGGTGTAGGTGAAGTATTGCCACTGACGCTCATGGGGAGTTATACAGTTCAACCAAAAGTGCTGACTATCTCCGAGACTGGCAAACCCCCAATGCATGGCGAGACATTTTCATCCAGCAGCGGCTGTGCATGTTGGAGTGGTCCTTACGTTTGCCGTTTACAAGAGAGCAGACGGCGCCTTGCCAGACACGGCGTGTAGGCCGCACTCGCAGCAGCCAGCGCAGCGCCAGGGACAGAGCGCAGGCCGCACTCGCAGCAGCCAGCGCAGCGCCAGAGACGGTGTGAAGGCCGCACTCGCGGCAGCCAGCGCAGCGCCAGGGACAGAGCGCAGGCCGCACTCGCAGCAGCCAGCGCAGCGCCAGGGACAGAGCGCAGGCCGCACTCGCAGCAGCCAGCGCAGCGCTAGAGACGGCGTGAAGGCCGCACTCGCAGCAGCCAGCGCAGCGCCAGGGACAGAGCGCAGGCCGCACTCGCGGCAGCCAGCGCAGCGCCAGGGACAGAGCGCAGGCCGCACTCGCGGCAGCCAGCGCAGCGCCAGGGACAGAGCGCAGGCCGCACTCGCGGCAGCCAGCGCAGCGCCAGGGACAGAGCGCAGGCCGCACTCGCGGCAGCCAGCGCAGCGCCAGGGACAGAGCGCAGGCCGCACTCGCGGCAGCCAGCGCAGCGCCAGGGACAGAGCGCAGGCCGCACTGGCAGCAGCCAGCGCAGCGCCAGGGACAGAGCGCAGGCCGCACTGGCAGCAGCCAGCGCAGTACCATGTCTCATCACTCGATAAAGCTGGTCAAAGAGTTGCATCGGCAGAGTAAAAAGTAGCCCGACGGTTTTTGGCTTATAGTCGCTGTAACACCTGTTAAGAGTGTCATGCTACAATTTAGACGCTCCGCGAAAACCTCCCATTATTTTCCATTCATTTCAAAACTCACAGAGAATAATTTTCTTTCGAATTGGATCAGACGCTCACCTTTAAAGCTTTCAAATCGACCCGCACTGGCAAACGTCTTTGCTTCCCCGCTTGGTTCGTGATGTTATGCTTCAAAGGGAGTCGAATTATCTCGCGCTCTCCCAGCTTTGCTAGGTCGGGGAGGCTCGCCAATTGACCCGTTTTACTATTGCACGCAAACACTTCATATTTTCCGTTCCGTTTCATCAATGTTCAGCAGCGGCATTACTACCCGATCCATTCCGTTGAGGTTGTCAGAGATCTTCAATAAGACCGCCAAGAAATTAGTCGAAATAGCAACACCTTATTCTGTTCACAGAGCGTGCAGACGCCTTTATCGGTCTGCTGACCAGTCGGGACATGTACACTATATCCATTCCACAAAGTGTTTATGCCTACATAAGCCTTCTGGCCGGTGCACAGACAGGCCGGCCAGTGTCGCACGCCGCCGCTGTCTTTGGGTGGGCGGTCCCGCCGTCACCACCTTCCCAGGCCGGCCGGTGTCGCACGCCGCCGCTGTCTTTGGGTGGGCGGTCCCGCCGTCACCACCTTCCCAGGCCGGCCGGTGTCGCACGCCGCCACTGTCTGGGTGGGCGGTCCCGCCGTCACCACCTTCCTTCTCCGCGGCCCCTCCGGGCATCCGTGTCGACAAGCGCGGCGCAGTTAATCACCTCGCGTCGACAGCCCCAGCCGTCACGCGGTGACCGCGGCGCCGCCGGTCCGGTGGCCGGCAGCTGCGGCCCTCCGGGTGTGCGGCCCGGAGCGCAGCGGGACACGCGGCGCTCAGGAGGCGTGCGCTAAACCGCCCTATAAATAGCGACCGACGCGAGCCGCGGCCGGCCAAGAGGCGTCCGACGCCCCGGCCGTCTGACCGGTCACGCGGCGAGCGCGGATTGTCACCCGGGACGGCGGCCGACGCGCCACGGAGAGTGACACACTTAGAGAGCGAGCTGGGCCGGGTTGGAGGGGTGACGGCAGCAGGGCCGAGGCTGGAGGGGTGACGGCGGCAGGGTCGAGGCTGGAGGGGTGACGGCGGCAGGGTCGAGGCTGGAGGGGTGACGGCGACAGGGCCGAGGCTGGAGGGGTGACGGCGGCAGGGTCGAGGCTGGAGGGGTGCCGGCGGCAGGGTCGAGGCTGGAGGGGTGACGGCAGCAGGGCCGATGCTGGAGGGGTGACGGCAGCAGGGCCGAGGATGGAGAGGTGACGGCAGCAGGGCCGAGGCTGGATGGACAACGGTGGCAGTCCCGGAGCTAGAGGGGTGACTGTGCCACACCGAGGCTGATGGGAGTAATGGCGACAGGGCCGGAGCTGGAGGGGTGACAACAGGAGGTTCACATCTTTAGGGGGGACAGCAGCAGAGTCGCAGCTGGATGGTGACAGTAGCCGAGACTGGGCTGAAGAGGTGACAGCGGCAGAGCCCGAGCTGGATCAGGAGCGGTGACAGTAGCAAAGCCAGGGCTGAAGGGGTGACGGTGGCAGAACCCGAGCTGGATCAGGAGCGGTGACAGTAGCAAAGCCAGGGCTGAAGGGGTGGCCGAGGGAGGGCTGGGACGAGGCGCGACAGCGACAGAGCCGGGTGTGGAGTGGCGCCGCTGAGGTCAACTCCGGTCGACAAATAAACAGACCCTCAGCTCTGGTGTTAAGCACGGAATGGAATTATTCAGCTGTGAACCAGTTTTAGAGAACATTTCGATGTGGTTGCATACAAAACGAATATATCTCTACAGTAAGCCCGAATACTGACCACGAGATTTCACCTATCTGCATCATTGTCATATAGCATTAGATCAATAGCCTCTCTAGCCATAGCGGCTCTCTAGCTCTCTATCCCTAGCCCTTTACCGTGTCCAAAGCAGCGATACTACGCATCATACAGTCTTGCAACCAGCTTTAGATGGCCTTGCTATATAAATACGTAATGACAAAACTTGTCAAAAACAATTTATGTTTACTCTAGCATGCCTCTCACCATGGTCACATCTGAATGAAATGCGCCTCACAACGTCTATGAAAGACAACGATCTCCGCCGGTGGGCCCCTGACGCCAAATTAAGCTAACGGGGCTGTAATGCTGGACAATGGCGATGAAGATCGGTTCATCAAACCACGCCCCATGGGTGTTCTTTTATCGTCGCCCTGCAAGAGGGACTCAAAAGACAACTAAAATCTCAGAGACTAGGCAAGCAAGAATTCTGGAGACGGCAGGATTGTAACGCCCTCCCCTCGTTACACGATATCACACAGGTGTGAATGAACTAGCGTAAATGTGAACTTTGAATGGTCAGATGAGGTAAAAAATATGCTTTCTGCTATGCAAAGAAGTAAGCATGCTACGACGATGCGGGAGACAGAGTTTAATAGCCCTCGGAAAGCCTTATAAGACAGACAGCAGTGTATATCGATGAGTGAGGCTTTTGCCACACATGTCATACCTTGGCAGAGGATTGCATTCGCCCGTACGGCTCCGTCAAGACCTTTGCAACTACGTTAGTGAAAAACAGCGTTATATAGGCATTCCAATGCTGCGAGTGTCGCATTATTTCATTATTTAAAGCGTATAAACATACAAATACTAAATGCCGCAAAACTGCGGCAATTCGTATTTATTTATTACAATAAAAATGCCGCAAAGGTCAAAATTTGACCTAGCCTTACCGTGAATGAAATGATCATGTAAAAGCAGCCAGAAGTAGTCTAGTTACTTCACTTTGAATGACAACGTTAAAATAAGTCTTGAAATCCTCTTAGGGTGCATTTCTTGCGATGAATGAGTATAAGTATCACTTCTGAACGAAATGCCACCACCACAGCCTGGAGAGAGGTCATAGATCATAAGCTATCAAGTTCAAAAACTGCGTATTCTTACATCATGCGTAACAATGATACGAAATCAGCTACCACACCAAAATACATGTCGCGCTTCAAACTGATTACAAGTTGTTCAGAAAAAGTGGGAGCCTCTAAGTAACCAATCTATGGCGACAATGAAATGCCATAGCAGAAAAACAAGAATTATGTAATGCACAGGCCAGCTCAAAACCCGCGGCGTCAAAGCCCCCCCCCCCCCCCCCCAAAAAGACGCCTGGTTTAGGTCCACCGGGGAAAGTCGGTGGCTCAAACTCAAGTCTGCTTTGAGCGCTTCTCCACAAACTGCGTAGTGACCTGCCACAAAATCCCTACGGTAGCTCAGGCTATCCAGAATAGCGACTTTGGCGACATTATTAAACAAGTTTTGGTATGGTTCTAGTGGTTGTCAACGGAAAAAGTTTATTTCGCAGAGCTGGAATGAGCGTGAGATATAGGAACCATACTATGTTTCCAGCTGTTTCTTCAACATGTGCATATGCTGCTTAATCTACCGTATACCCTCTTACATGAGATCAGCTTTCTCTATTTCCCATTGTTAGTGAGCGCTCTGGGTGGACCCACCAGATGTGCGTACATCAGCGTCGTGCCTTGTTGCATCCAAAAGCACAACACGTCGAGGAGCGACGACCGTCAATCGGGGCGTGACATAACCTATACCCTCAGCCCCTGTGACGTCCAACGTTACGTCAGTCACTCCCTGCCGATCGCGGAGGATCCCGACCGGTCACCGAACCCGGCCATTAATCGGCCCGACGCCGGCCGGCCATTGGTGGCGCCAGGAGCGCGGCGCGAGCGGACGGGGGTGGCGGCGCGCTGACGGAGCTGGCCGCCTGGGCGGCCCCGCTCATCACTCACCTCTCCGAGCCGGGCGGCGCACGCCGCCGGGGCAAGGCCGGGGTCGGCCCCGGCCGCCGCCACCGCCGGTCCGCTGCCGGGCCCGGCCAGGGCAGAGCCGGCCACAGGCTTCTGGTGGGGGTGCAGAATCGAGCCGTTAGCCAAGTGGGGGCGGCGGTCAGCGCGTGGGCGGGGGACGAGCCACGATCGGGGCGGACAGGCTGCTGCCAGGAACGGCAGCTGAGCACCGACGGCGGTAGGCTGCGCCAGAGGCACAGCTACTTCAATTTACATGCTGACCCATCATTACGAAGTCCAAACCGAAGCTGTGCATGGCTCCGTGCGGATCGAAATCCTCTCAGGAAACAATGCGAGTTGTGCTGAGTTAGTAGAAGCCCTATGGATTGTCATTAACTGAAACCAGAATAGAGTCAGCCAAGTCATCAGTCAGTCGATATAAATAAATTTGCAAATAAGATAAAGCAATGGTCTAACAGCTTGCACATACGTGCTCTCCAAATAGAAAACAGCAATATATAGACGTAATCAAATCAAAATAAATGACTTATGAAGTTTTTAAACGAAGGTAGGATATAACGGGTTAAAAACAGACTGTTGTCACATCGATCAATTAAGACGAGTCATATCTCCAGGACTCGAAATCGGACTCACCTCACGTCGCGCTGGGCGTTCGTAGTCAAAGCCCGAAATCAACCCCCATGCGCTGCGAGTAGCAGTCGCAATCAATCCCACTGAATCTAATTAAACACAGGTCGGGCGCCAGCTGGAGATGTGCGGGGGGGGGGGGGGGGCGTCGACAGCAGCGTTATTGGAGACGAGTTTGGTCTGGTCTCAGTGTGGCCGTCTCATGTGGGATCGCATGTCGATTGATTGGCGCCCGAACAGCCATTAATTGCGAAGAGCCCATCTACGGTGAAAAATACCGCTGCTCTGAGCGCTGCCGAAATTGCAGCCTGGGCAGGGGCGTCGATCATTGCGTCGTACATTCAGACTATCAGTAATAAGTCGGATCCCCTCGGTGCAAATTTATCAGTTCCACAGACACACCGCCATAGTCAGGGTAAGGACCGTCATCGCTGTTGATTTCCCACGCGTTCCCCCGAGTATCGTTTAATCTCCCGCTGATTCCGGCGTGCCCAGTGGGTTTGAGGTTTCACCACCGCATATTTCCCGGCGAGCTCTCGTCGCTAAATATTCCCCGGCCGGACTTCAAGCAGCACGGCGAGCTGTCACGCTGATGGCCTCAGCTGTCATGGCGGCTGAAAAATGGCCAAAAAATGGCGTCCTTGACGCTGTCGCCGCCTCAGGAAAGCTGCCCTCATAAACCCCGAACATCAGCTAAGCTACCGTAAGCTCTCGCATCCATCCTGACCGCTGTCGCCGCCTCAGGAAAGCTGCCCTCACAAACCCCGAACATCAGCTAAGCTACCGTAAGCCCTCGCATCCACCCGCTACAGGACGCTTCCAAACCGGACGCCATGCTGAAGTAATATTCAACAACAAGCCCCGACGTTTTACACCCTCGTTTTAGCCCTTGCTCAACGTTTTTAACGCATTGCATTCTTCACCCAACCGCATACCATGGACCTTTGATCCACCGCATGTTCCCCGTCGCAGCGGACCACCCCGCTCGGCCTCTTCCTGGCAGCCGCACCTCCCGGCCTCTGTCTCGCGGCAGCCGCTCCCGCCTCCGGAGCGCCGCCGCCCCCGCCCCGGCCCCGCCCGCGCGCGCCTGACCCGCCTGGCACGGGCCGCTAAATGGGCGTGCAGGTGCCCCCGTCACTCGCGGGGCGGACGGCTCCCGGGCCGCTGCCGCCGCTAAGTGGCTGGCCGCGGACGAGCTGTGCCGTGTTGGTGCCCCCGTGTCTGTCAGACGCGGAACATTTGTCACATTAAGCGCACTCGAGTGGGAGTGGCGGCCAGATGAATGAAGAGGGCACGGGGATGCGGCAGCAGGTAGGCGGCGCGGGCACAGCGAGAAAAAGGAAATGGGACGTCGCTGAGCACATGTCTGAGCACAGTGAACCGTGTGTTCGGCCCCGTTTTGCGCACGCTTCAGCCTCAGAGCAATAAGGACAGGTCGATTCCGCTGAGACACCTGTTCACAGAATACTATTCCGGCGCAGCGCAGCTTTGAGTTAACTCCGATTTCGGGTCAACGATTAATGTGCCATTTCTGTGGTCGATTGCGAACACAACTGTTAATGACAGATGGTTATTTACTGCCCAGATCAGGTGCTGTGCACATTATACATACCGGCAGTGAGATGCATTTGCATCTGAATCGAACCAGCCATGACCCAGTTGACCCCGCTCCGACTCCAGCTCTATCTCTCGACACAGATACAAAGCAACTGATTTTATCTGGTTTCGATCAACACGAGCCTCAGGGCAGGACCGCCCAATACCTGGTTAACTACTCGTATCGCCTCTTGACATTGCTTGTATGCAAATTTCGCGAGGCCCGAAATGTTGCACGGGTATGTGTAAATAGCACAGATATTAAAGTTTTGTGATACGCGGACGACGCAGTCTTTATTCTAAGTGACGATGCATCGGCCCGCTCTGCCCCAAACTATACCAGCAAAGTTGAGATATTTCTGGGCTTCGTCTGAATATTCAGAAACGTGAATTTGCATGGATAGGTAGTAGACGAATGTGCCGTGATCCTTCATGTGGAATGGAGTCTCAGAGTAGATTAAAGTCGTTGAGGTTTTCTTCGGCATGCTAATGGAAAAGGAAGGCTCAAACTGTTGATGACTGCTTAGCAGATAACCGTTAATGGTTGCTTAGCAGATAACGTGAACCAGCGGCTGCGTCGTATGACAGCCACGACGAACATGTGGAAAGACCAAACTCTTAGCCAGAAGGGATAATAACCCTATCCAAATCATATATGCTATCGCAAGTTTACATCAGGCAACAGCTATTCTGATTCGCACAAAAACCATGCTTGCTTGATCAATAACAAAAAAAATAAGATATTATTGCCTGTAAGGAGGCCTGCCTTCTAAAGTAAGGAAGGGCCTATTGTGCCAAGAAATACGTGAAAGTGGAACGGAAACAGCAAATATCGTGCGTCACTTAAGGGGTCTAAGGCTATCATGGTTAAGAAAGGTAGAGAGTAGCACCCAGTCCCAATTGAGAGAAGTACTATAGGGGGGCTTATGCCGATTTACACTAAAAGACACGTTATGAACGAACTGGATCACATATTTTTTAAGACGTTAGTAGTTCCATAATTGTACGTTAGCATTTTCACCAGTTAGATACACTAAGGCGTCAGCAGATTTTTACCACTTCAGAATCTGTACAAAAGCAGAGTTTGTGGAGCAACAAACACCTTAAATGCGACAACAAACCTGTATGTGTTTCCACACTGCCGTTGGAAGATATCAAATGCGTGGGTGTTTTGGTACGAAACAGCACATTAGTCAGCCATGTACAACTGCGACGGCGGGTTCCTAACGAAGAGACACGGCAGTTTGCTTATGAGCGCCGTATACATTTCACGAAAAGGGAGGAGGGTTCTTGGGCAGCACGCGAATTACGCTCCACCGAGGCGAGTGAGAAAAGAAGAGGCACTGATATCTCTGCCGGATATGTCAGAAGTAGCTGCTCAACAGGTGTCCAGCAGACAGTTGTGTAATGCTCGCCTGCCTGGGGCTGCCTAGCCAAAATGTCGGAGATAAATTGGGAAGAAGAAGGTGAAAAAGGCAGTTAAAAGTGATTTATTTCACTTGAACTTTACAAAAATGCTGTTCATTTTAAGGGCGACATAAGGTATATCCAAGTCAGTTTAAGGGAAGGGAGGGGCAAACGAAGTGAGCATGGTATGCGCGCTGTAAGAACTAGAAGCGGACACAAATTCTGTCACATACATAAATCACCGATATCTTGAAAGCTTCACAATAACAATTCATTCATAACTGACTACGAGTGCTCAATTCGCGGAAAAACATACGAGTACTTTGGAGTTCATTAGTGACTACACCCGCAGCGGTCATGTCCTAAACTTTAGTAGCACAACGTAACAACTTAGGCATCGCTGAGTGTGCACACAAGTGAGTACATTATGTTACGACTCATACCAAGTCAGCATAATTGGATTCAGCGTCCCGGCTAACAGAATATTTGCTGTATGCTAGTCACGAATGCAAGGTCTGTGGAGACGATGGAAACCACGACAATCTGCGTGCTAATGCGATTGTGATGATTAGATCAGCGCGAGTGATGCTGGGGAGTCATGGTGCGTTGAAACGAAACAGGAAAAAGAGTCCTGTACGAAAACGGGAAAGGGTGCATTCAAGGGAAATGACGGCACCAATGAATGAGTTCTGTTGCAAACCATCGCTAGGGGGCAGGTTAATCAAGACATCCGATGGTTGTGCACCCACGTCCTTAATAACAGTACCAATCGCTTGTCTGATGCCGTTTACACACAAGCACTCGCAACACATCCTTACCCCAGGGCTGAGTTCAGCCTCATACTTCTCGACGGTGCTCTCGGTCCGCGTGCCCGGCCCGTCGTCTTCTGCGAGGCTCGCTGTCCCCGCCTCACCAGGCGGCGCCTGTACCACTGGACCAGATGTCGCCACCGCCGCGCCGCAAGATAGTGCTACCTCCGACGGGGACTCGTTCTCGTCCCGAGCAGGCACCTCGGGGATGTCCCGCTCGAGCCGCGTAAGCTGCGCCTCCACGCCCTGCAGCGCACTGTTCAGCGACACGATGCGCCTCGCGATGTCGGAGAGCTCTGCCGTCCGCCCGGGCCGCGCGTCGTCCTCCACCTGCTGCGTCCACACGTCACCCGTCACTGGCGCGTCCCCGGACGTCACGGCGCCGGCCGCGCGCCGATCGCCGCACCACTGAGGCGGAGGCCGCCACCACTCGCCGCACCCAGCCCTGACGGCGCGCACTGGCTCCGACTTCTCTGGAGCGCCGCCGGCGGCGGGGGGAGGCTCGGTCCGTGAGGCGGAGAGCCACTGCGGGCCCTCCCCCGTGTCGGGGTCGTATGTCCACTCGTCTTCCGAGGATGGCGGCGCAGTGTCCAGCTGGAAACGACATTTGGTACGTGAGAACCATACGTGCCAGTTCTGCGTATAAGTGGCATTTAATTCTGCTGAGGGTGCGCGAATATGCATCATTCGTAATCATATGACGCAATCGCATTTAATACACGCATGCCGTTCACACAGTAGCAATACGATTCCCCAGACGGCAAATAAAAATCATGTGTCAAAAATATTCAAGGGTGGCCCCTATTCACGGCATCGCCACACCAGGATCGAAGGCGGGGCGTCATCCCCAGTTCACCGTCATATTCACGCCATCGTTGCATTCACTTCAATATTTTCCTTCGCCGGTGCCATTCCGTCCGTGGATAAAGCAGCCGAAGACCAGCCTCGGATCCCGGGGCTTCATCGAAACATCAACTGACCGTTGAATCCAGCGCGGAGCACTTTGACCGGTCAGCGCCCCTCGAGGTGGCAGCAGCGGCTGGCGCTGTGACGTAGTCAGACGGGGCAGTGGCGCACTCCGAGTCGGTCGATCTCCACGAGGAACAGCGCTGAATGAGCCGCGGTGCCTCCTCCTGCAAAATGAGTCGTGAGCTCATAGAGACAATCGTTGCCGGAAATTAGAATGCGGTTTTAACAGCAGACCTAGATTAACCATTACACGACCGAGAGCGACATACGCAGAACTCTTGACCAGCACATTTCTCGTGCCATATTTCAGTGTTGCTTTGTCACAAGACTTATAAACGTGTCAATCGTATGGGTAATTTTCATCAAAGCCCCTGTCATGCCTATCATACAAAAAACTTTGCCATTCAGTTTGTCTTCTCTTCGTCCATTCCACCTCACTCGCTTGGAGCCTTGAATGACAGGACGTGAGCTCGGCCCGCCAGGTTCTGCAGAATGTAGCACCCACCAATCCTCCGCGCAGACGCGCATGGGGCGCATGCACACACTCAGCAGAACCACACAGACCTTAGACGAGAGTGGCCTTGAGCGAGAGCGGCCCACTGCTGAACGTTTGAAGCCCCATTACACCCGAACATCACTCCGAATCTGCCAAACCCATCAGCTGCTAGGGAAGCTAGGACCTTCGGCCCCTTAAGTAAAACAACAACCGCGCGTGTTTGCTCTAAAAGTGGGAGGCTCGCCAAACGAAAGCCGATCTGAGACTGGAAATATGTCGCGACTAGTGACGCACGGACCGACATGCAGCTTCCCTCCACGGCATACTCGCCGGCCTTAAACAAAACAGCACGTCACATCGCCCGTGAAGCTGTCAGGTCTTGACAGACCAGCTATCCGTTCGTTCCCGGCAATAACTACAGCGCTGATGGCGGCGATGCGAGCTCCGCGCGCACCTACATCAGTCTGCTTCGTCCCGCGCCCTCCTGCCGTGAGCAGAGCCCGCTGTCACCACCCACCCTCCGCAGATGAGACGGGTGCCAGCGTCGCAGCGGCCGCAGAGCTCGGTCCGTCACAGCTGGCAGCCAGAGGAGCCGCCTCGCTGCCGTCACCGCACGCGCCGGGTCGGACGGCGCGCGTTTTTGCGGCGCGCGCTGAGCGCCGTGCGCACCGGCGCCGACGGGCGGTAAACAGGTGCGATGGACCGGCGCTGGCGGCTGCCACCGGCGCGTGTTGTTGTCAGGCGTAGCTGCTGCTGACGGATGCCAGCTTATCACGCCGGCAAAGGCGGTCCATTTGCTATCCGGGTTCGAGATGGCGAGAAGTGCACGTGGGTGCTATCATTATGGGCTGGGTTAGTTATGATTATTATGGTGTTTTAATTAAGCGAAGAAATAAGAGTGAGTCTGTAAGCCTGCCAAGTTAGAAAGAAGGAAAAGCGCTGGTGCAATCTCCGCTCTCGGAGTTGGGGCAATTAGTCCCCAGCTGTCAATCAGACAGCTCGTTAGCCCAACTGCGTATCTTGTGGGTATCATTTGTCGGCAGTTGCCAGCCAGATGAGGTCGATTAAGATTCGGTCCTCGCGTTCCGAGCCGGCGCCACAGATTTTGAGCTGGGGATAGGGCTTTCCAGTGGGTCTCCTTGGCAAAATGGAGCCTCCTCACAGTGTGGCCTCCTGCGCAGTGTCGTGTTCAAGGGGATGCACAATGAGGACTGCGCCCCCCTTTCACATTTTTACGTGTATGATATCCAAGCAGATCAAGGTCAACAATTGCGACATCCAGAATGACCGGGGTGCATTCTAATTGCCCAGGACAGGATTTGTTACCCAGCACACAGGATGCGTGTGATTCGTGAAAGGGGCCTTCAATCCAGCCAAGGAATCTCGCTCTCCCAACACAGGGGATAGTGTTACGGAACCGCGGTTTTTTGAAGCATGAACTCGTCCTCGTGCTCCCGAAACGGGGCCTGCTTAATATAGAGGGTGCTTCATGAATGTAGAGGGTACCTCCTAATCTAAAACAGGGTCCTCCCAGTTTGTAATGGGTATCTCCTTATAAAACTGGCCAACTGGTCTAAGGCGCTGGCTACCTTGTTCATAAAAGTGACCCCATGATCCACAACACGGATCTCTTGATGAAGCAAAGGGTTTTTGGGCCAGACGGACCCTTCTCTTGCTCAACTGTTTTTATCTTAATTTTGTTTTAATCATTTTAATTTATTTATTTTAATTTAATTAGGAACTTCCGTCATCTGAAGTTTGGTACTATACGGGAAGCCACAATGTCTTTGATTTGGAAGAAGAGGTCTCCCTGAAATGGAGAAGGAGCAGAAACATACTCTTGCCTCCCAGCCTACCGGCAGGCAAGGGAGCAAATGCCGCCTATGCTCCACCTCCCACCCACCCGCCACCACCTGCTGCGCAGCCCCTGTTGGCGTTGGCCATTTACCATAATGCTAACACACCTATATGATTAATGTGATTGGGAAGTGTCGAAAAAAACACCAGCAAAGGACAACTAGGCCATATAATTCAAAGGAATTCTTATCTTGGCCTTATTCCACGTTGGCCGTTGAAGAGAAAGTGAAACGCTGTGACACCTACATATTTGGGACACCAGTTTCCGTCGATATTGCATGAGTCGAATTTACAGGTACCTACAACAACTCACATTTACAAAAACACACACACACACAAACGCAACTGCGATTTTTGAAGAGCAATTGATTTGGCCAGATCGTGAGATTGTTTCAGCAAAGGTGCACGACCAACATAATTCAAGCACATTTCAGTTAGATACTCATCGCAGTCTCTGCGATTACGCACGGGGACCTCACGTCGATCCCGTTCACAATTGGCACGACAGTCGGCACAGTAAAGACAAAAGGCTATATGCAGACATTATCAATTGATTTTGGCATACCTGAAATGTAGTGGACGAATGTACTCCGCCACTTATTGGCCCATAAATAACAGGAATTTCTACCGCAAGCATAAATACGCAATGAATGCGGAGTATGGGTGTGAATGATGTATGCATGTTTACGGAAATAACGTTTGTGATTGGCAGAATCAGAGGTTTAAGCAATTTGGTGAGAAGTGCACTGGTGGAAAAATGTGTGTCGCTAGACCACGTGATATGTCGCTGGTACATACATGCTGTGTAAGCACGGCTCTGCAGTCAACTGAGCATCCAAATAAACAGTGTTTACCACAGCCAAAGTACGCTTCGAAAACAGCCACTGTTCTAAGCACCACAAGACGTAAAACACAGAGCTACAGTATTACATTCCCTTAAATCCGCTTGATATCGGTTTCATGCCTGTCTTCATTTCCCTAAATACGATGTTTCGAACTCTAATAACATTTATTGCATAACCAATTTGGGCAATTCGCGTACAGCGGACATTGCAACGCACATACTTAAAAAAAACGGAAAACGTAACTTTTATAGTGGTGATCAGAGATCCACATGGTATTTCTCATCAGAACGGCTGCGTCAGATACAAATTTTGAGCCAATCAGGATTTCGAGGAAACTGGCATTACCGACCCAATCAGATGCGTTAGTTCTAGCACTGATTGCAAAATGAAAAGTGAGGATAACCGTGAGAGGTGGAATACCCTGTTTAAGGGAGTAACATTTGATGTGCCCGTTGCGCTCTCAAGTCTCTCGTTGAAAACTATGACCAGGAACAGACCTGACGGCAGGACGATTCAGGACAGACCCTCTTGAGCAGTGCAGCTCTGTACGCTGGCTCCAGAAACCGGCCATTGTACCGACATCGCAGCAAGCATCAGCCCACCGGCTCGGCCATCAGACCAGGGGCAGCGCCAGCAGCTGACCCACGTCAGTCAAAGCGCTCCTCTGATCAGGCGGAAGTGTCGCCGCCCACCTCACTCTCAGGCTCGTTAAACAGCCACGTGATGACAGGCTCCTCATGGGAAATAAGACTCGCCTTGGCTCGCCCCTGGGTATAACTGACGGGCGGTCTGGTAAAAGGTGAGACAAACCGCCCCCTTTTGGGTGTGCCCCTCGCAAGACTGATGGGGGCATGACCGTTCAGGTTGACGGCATGACGTTATGGCCCTCATCCTCTCGTGCGTTCCCGTCCACCTGAGACTGTCCCCTGCCTCCGTTCGAACCCTTCTCTCACCCCCGAATCTCCGGCACCGCAACAGATCGTCCGACCACCAAAGGACACAACTTCGAGCCGGCAGGCTAACTCCAACAGCACCCGGCACTTACCATCGCGTCCCGCCCCCGGCTCGGCCGTCGTCGATCTTGCACCGTCACTGACCTTCCAAAGCACAAGCCCCACTTCGCCGTCCCCACCGACAGCCGCCCACCGCGCTCTCCCACGGTCTGCGACCGCGACGCTCACCAGACCCCGCGCCGCCGCAGATCAAGGTGTCTCCAGACTCCAGCCCCGCCGGCGCCGCATTCGTCGCCGACCCAACGCTGCCAAAACGCCCGCGGCGACGCTGTTCGTCGGAAGGCAGACGGTGGGGGGGGGGGGGGGGGGGGGGGGGTTGAGATGCGGCAGAACCTCTGCATGACGCCTCAGGGGCCGACGACGACGGCGTCGCGGGGCGTCTGGGGGCACGCCAGACTAAACACGGGGCACACGGGAGCCGCGGGGGAAGAAGGGGGGGGGGGGGGGCGGGGCGGGACTTCCCGCCGGGTGCGGCGCCGAGCTTCTGCCAGCAGCGGGGCAGCTAGCCCAGTTACGTTCGGGGGCTGTGATGTTTGGGAGCGTAACAATGCCACTGCTGTGTCGCACGTGGAACGCGAGCCCCTGGCCGCACCGGTGTGTTTGCTTGTCAGAGAGGATGGATGAACTGAAGCTAAGTGGTGGCAGCCGGCTGGCGTGTGGTGCGGCTTATGACAGTGGGGCTCTGGTATTTTGAAAAATACAATTTGGTCACTGCTTGCAAGTTTTTTTTCGCCTTCGGCTTACGCTAAATTCAGCATGAAAGACATGCTTGTGTTGGCATCATGTCTAACTGAAATCGTGTATTAGGTCAATATCTAGAAGCCATCTGTGCTCTCCCGATCAAGATCGTACGTTTCCCTTTGCCAAGCGTTTCAATGAAAGGGAGTGCCTCATCTTCACGCCATATTACAAAACCATGCTCTAGCTAAACGTCAGGACCAGTTACGTCTATTAATAGTAGCAAGTGCCATTGCAGCACTGTGAAGACATGATGAGGACATCAGTTTTAAAGATTTTTGGGTCCTTACCACGTTAGCAACGCGACGCCTTGTAAATGCACTATGCTTCTTCACTGCAGCTGTCGCGATCGCTGCCGTCATGACAGCCGCCGGGCGCAAATAAATACACGCTTGTGATTGGCTGAGTGGGCGGCAAGGGCCTGCTACCGGGAGCGCATTGGTTGAAGTTTGAATCAGTGCGTCACTATGGACCATGAATACTCCCATTCCCAAAGCCAAAGCGCACCTCGAAAAGAGTCATTGTGGTAAACGTCGCAGGGGAGAAATCGAACCCATGGTATAAAGCTTCGTTGAATTCCCTGGATCAAAGCTTCATGTTTGCAAATCTGCTTTTCTGCAAATAGAGTTTTCACGCTGTCGTAGCATTTCTTACACAACAAATTTCACAAATTAGGGTGTCGCGAACATTACAAAACAAATTGTTGGAAAAGCAATACCAATGAAATGTGCTCCTTTGAAAGAGGTGAGCAGGGAGTTCAATGAGAGTTCTCCCGCAGGTACGGCTGTTTCAAATTGAAATTCTGAGCTTCTGAGAAGGATTGCGAGAAATCTGGCATTACTAATGCAATTAGACGTGTCTGATCTAACTATAAGTCAAAAGTGCAAAAACATGGCATGTTCCTTTACTGGGAGCATGACCGCCAAGGGATCCGCTATTGCATTGCCCACAGCTATGTAGTTTTGGTGCGGCTATGCTGTGTCCTGAAATTATTTTGCAAAAACGTCGAGGAGTCAGATTTACCCCATTCCCACCCGGGCGCGCGCTAATGACCGACATCGCTACTCCTAAATAATATCAGGCAAACCTTTGAAAATTTGGTTTGTTATTCTATAGCTTTTCAGCGGTGTGGACGTTTGCGTAATGTTATTCCATTTGTGTCACCTGGTTTACTGGCGTGTCATGTCTGCCATGGGCGGTCTGTCACTGATGCTCTTACTATAGCAAAATGTGATTTCCGACATATTTGCATTCTGATTGTCGGCTCACTTTTGTTTTTGAATGGCTCAAAACTTAAGTAATATAACATGCATTATTTGAACTTGTTAAAGGGAGTATGCAACGTTCTTGTACTTTTCACTTATTGAGAAACCAGACGCGTCCAGTTTGGTCGGCAACGCCAGTTTTTTTCATTCTTCAGAATATCTCAGAATTCCAAGTTAGATTAGACGCTAAGGTGGGAAAAATGTTCTTGAAATCTCTGCTCACCACTATCAGAGAAGTACTTTTCTTTTGCAGTCTTTTCCAACGTGGGTGTCATGCAATTCTTGCAATACTTGCAGTTCGTCGAAATTCTTGCGTAGTTAATGACAGCGTGAAAGTGTGAGGTTGAAATATTCTAGTTAGGATAACCGATTTACAAGCATGACGCTATTGTTACGAGAATGCAACGAAGCATTATTCTATGGCTTTGATATCTTCCATGTAAAAATAGAATCGGCGTGACACACAGTGGCAGTTATTTCGGAGCGCACTTTGGCTTTATGAAACAGAGGATAATATAGTCTAAAGTGACGCACTGGTTCAAACTTGAACCAGTGCACTTCTCGGTAAATGGCCTTCGCCGCTCATGCTATGCGCTATGCTCATCACAAATGTCCACTCGCACTGACGCCATTAATACCAGTAGAGATGCCACTTTCAAGATAGCAGATCCATAATGTGTGCTCAAATGTGGTAGCTCTAGTCCGTAACGGCTGTGACGCCCCTCAGCAGATTATGCCGTCGTCATGGCGACGGCAGCCGCGACAGCTACAACTGTAGCGAGATAGGGCTTCACTCTGGGTCACAAGAACTGAAAAAGTGTGATGTGTGCCAAAGCACTGTCAGCGCAATCTAGAATAGAAAATAATTTAAAATAACCTCCTCATTGCATTTTAATGGTACTGCGGGGGCACTACCCAGTGCTATAATTTGACGTATCTGGTCCTGGGGTTTCACCAGAGTATGCTTTTGAAGTATGCCCCAAAAGCGAGGCATTCTTTTAAAAAATTTCGACCCGCAAAATAATGCCAGGTCTGGCCTACATCCCAGCTACAAGCGCGCGACCTCTTGCGGATGAGGTGTGGCGGGTTAGCGGGTTGAAATGTTGCGTCTCTAGTATGACCCTTATGGCCTGATTTGGAATAGCACAAGTCACAGACACTGATGGCTCGCTATGGATGCATGACGAAGCGCACCCCAAAATCATAACACCCACCGCATTTCCGCTGGCATAGCACACATGGTTTTGAAAAAGGAAAAAAGGAAAAAATCCACCAGGTGTACCGCGTGACCCTGGTTTGACCGACGAGAGGCCAGCTACGCATGCTAGCGTATGATTCATTTGGTATCTTTATTTTGCACTGAAAAAATCTGAAAATGCTGCCATGACACAAGCGCAATGATGGACTATGAGTATAACATAATGTGTGGCCGTTACAGCAGTGTTTGAGTCAATGAGTGTAGAGGCTCAAATCTACTTCACCAGTGTTTCTTCTTCTTTTTCCGCTGTTGATGGTTGATAGTATTGGAAATTATTTTTTCGTCGTAATATTTTCGTAGTTGTTGACGGAACGATTGGAATGAAGCGACAAGAAAGAAAACGATTGAAAAATGGTCTCGATGGTATTGGTCCTTTCAATATGGACCTAACCAGAGGCGACTGTCGAATAGTCGTTCTTTCATTTCAGTGGCGTGAACAAAACAGCGTCTCTAACGATAAGACCGTGATCATTTCTGCACAGGTCTTTATTTAAAACTACCGACCTTTGGAGCTGCGGGGTATCGATCCCCGTATCTCTCACATACTAAACGAGTTCTCTACCAACTGAGAGATTAGACCAGCTGGATATTTGCGAGCATGTTTTACAGCGCGCCAGGAATGTTTAAACCGCACGCATGTTCTTACGATCACGCTCGATTCCTACTAGGTTACCAATCAAAACTCGGAATTTTTGGAACTGTGGGCATCGGTCCCGATACTTCTGCAATCTAAGCGAGCGCTCAACAACTTGAGCTACAGCCCCCGGTAAATTTGGATGAGTCGGTTATCCTGGTTTCGCCCGGTCTTCTTGGCCTTTGTCTCACGTCAGCCCCCTCCCCCCCCCCCCCACACACACACGTCACGATTCCCTAGAATCACGCACTTGACTTCCCCAAATTACGTACGCTTTGGGCGTGTACGGTCCTCGCCACGGAATGAGTCGTCATTTCAATACAGGCGCTGAGATAGCTCACCAGGAACATCTGCCTCGCATTAACTGAAAATAAATATACATATTAGAGCTGCCGTTACCCACAACATCTAAACATGTGTAATTGGCATGAATCAAATTTTCCTCACGAAGCATCAAACAAAATTCAGACAAAAACAGACGTTCGGTTAAGGGACGGGACAGCGGTAATGCTTGGGATATTTATGTGGTCCTTTAAGAGAATATTTCACATTCGAAGATGTGAACCAAGCATCGGATATGATGAAATAAGCTTACCTATAACTATTGGTGCACTTCTAGGTGGAAAAGATTCCATCAGACAGCGCATTTTCTCTCTTCAGTAAATATGTTCCTCGATGCGCCATTGTTCGATCACGTCATCGCATTTTTCACAACATTGATTACGAGCCAATGTACGGCCGTTATATCTAGCAATCGTGAATCGCCAGATATGACCAACTCGACCAATACTTATTTCTTGGCCCTGATGGACACATGGCTTATGGAGTACAGAACTCGAATAACGTTATTATGATGTAATGAATGTCAGGTATCATAATGAAATTAAATTTAAATGCTCTCCCCGAAATACTTTGCACATCTTTGCGGGCGTACAGGACCAAGACAACCCCATCGGTTTTTTTACCAGAAAGTCACAGTACGTAGCAACACCTTGTTCAATAGTCAATTTTGCTTTACACCGCTTCCATCTTGCAATTGGGTGTCTCCAAACGGAAGGTAATGTCCTTGCCTGTCCTTTGTGTGTTCCCCCGCAATGCACAGAGCACCACCTCTTCCGTGCGGGTTTTCCGTTATTAAATTTCCTGAGGTTTAGAATATCTCTCCTAAGCATACACTCCATGGGAGAGTGATGACCGCGAGCCACACGAGCAGCTACTGAATCGGTCAGGAGGACGAGTTGCCTCTTGCTGTGTTCTGAGCCAACGAAAGCGCTGAAGGGATGGGAAGAGTGATGTATTTGAGCGGTTCCATGTGGTCGCCAACAGAACAAGACGGTCTCGGTATTGCACGTTGGTATACACGCCGCGACCTTGTCGCCTTACAGGCCGTGTGTGTGTGTGTGTGTGTGTGTGTGTGTGTGTGTGTGTGTGTGTGTGTGTGTGTGTGTGTGTGTGTGTGTGTGTGTGTGTGTGTGTGTGTGTGTG